AATTCCACAAAATAGCAGGAATTAATAAAACCTTTTAGGAATAACTCTGAATATCAGTGAACTCGACTCTCCTAACAAAAGACGCAGACTCACTATGGGTTCAAAAAAAAGACAGGTTCGCTGCCTCCAAGCAACACCTCACCACTAAAGACAGATTCCTCGTCAGGGTGCTCGAGGCTCCACAAGACCTTAACACTAGAGGGCGCACTTGCGGCTGCTCCTGTCTGCCTTCTGCCGTCTCTAGATTGTCAAATGCCAGCGGAGACAAAAGCTGCCCAAGGCTAATATTAGAGAGCCTCTCCTTGTCGAATACGATTTCTACCGAGGGTTAACAGGATCCCAGGCAGCTCGCTGGGAACAATAGGATCTACCTCACAGGGTGCTTACGAGGATTGTGATCAGTGAATTCAAGGTGGGGTAGGTTATGTGATGATAACTGTATTAGTCAGGGTTCTCTAGAGGAACAGAACTTATAGAATGAATATATATATATTCTAATAAATCCAAGACTGCCTTACAGGCTGTGGTCCAGCTAGTCCAACAACGTCTGGACTTCCAATGGAAGATCCAAGAGTCCAGTAGTTGTTCAGTCCACGAGGCCGGATGTCATGTACCAAGTGTATGTCAGTTGATGTCTAACACTACTCTATTGTGTCTTTTTGCAGTTTTATAAGCCTGAAAGAAGGACTTTGAAAGTATGCCCAGAAAGCCAGGCATGGTGGCACACAATTTAATCCCAGCACTCAGGAGGCAGAGGCAGGTGGATCTTTGCGAGTTTGAGGCCAGCCTGGTCTACAGAGTGAGATCCAGGACAGCCAGGGCTGTTATACCGCCTCCTTTCCACCCCTGCCCCCCACCAAGTATGCTCAGAATGTCTACAGTGAAAGAAATATATGTCCTTTACCAAAATGCTCAGTAGTCACTTTGATGTATAAATATGGCCCGGGGGCCTGGGTGTCCAGGATAACAAAAGACATGGAGCTAAGTTAGCATACATATTAAAATGAAAAGAATTTCATTCTTTATCAGAGAAACTTCCTAGACCAGGGCTCTAAATATTCAATTTCAGATACGCTGCTGTGGTGGATCGTGTGTGACTCCACCCTAAAGACTGAACAAAAACCTGCCACACTTTGGGTAAGCTGTGTTTCTTGCCAGGAATGACAATAAGGAGTTCGGTGAATTCATCATAAGGAAGAGCAAGTGCCGAGCAAGCCGGACTCCAGCAGGTGACAACCGGGACCAACAACTCTCGGAGGACCCACCGGCATCATCAGAGGGAAGTGCTGAGCTTCACAGCCCAGCGTTTTGTTTTTATTAATTGAACAATTAATTTTTTCCTGGTCCAATCACAGTTTCCCCTTCCTCCATCCTCTCCTCCTAGTCCCTCCCCTC